ATCCTTTAAAGAAATATCTTTTAATTTTCAATTTTTCGAGGAATACATCGATCTATAATTAAATCACGTCTGATCTATAATTAAAATCTAAAATTATCAATTGAAAAATGAATAAAATCTCATTATTAATAATTATATCAACAATACTAGAGATATTTTTCTCACAGGAAAATTCTAAATCTAATAATCAAAATTTTAATATCTCGATTACTTAGAATCATCACAATATTAAAATATTTTTATATTAACTTTTAACGAAACTCACTGTAGAAAGAATTGGTGTGTGGATCATCCAGCTTTTCCGTGCGCAACGTGTCCTTGCTCGTCTCGATCGTGTGATTCCTCTGGTTCTCGATCAGCTCGATCAGCGTGAAATTGTTCGCGGATATGGTTTTATTTCGTGACAGTACCAGAAGAATTTCTTCCTCTTCCAGGGTGTTCAAATTGTTAGATGTCAACACATCCACCGATTTTCCGGCATACGACAGTTTCACTAGAAAAACTATCGTCCATATTCTCACGAATATTCCCATATTTATAGAGGAAAAAAAAAAAAAAAAAAAAAAATACAACGTAATCGTATGAATCGAGTGATTCGAGTCGAGAAAAATTTTCGTTCGTTGTCCAATTTTATTTATAGATAAAAAAAATCACAGAAACTGAATAATATCTTCTAGATTCGACATTGATACTTTGGAGTTTATGTTAAAGTGTATGAGATCAATATTGAAATTCTTCACAGATTGAACTTCACAGATTGTCTCTCGGGTGTATACGATCGACACGTAAATTCGTTTCGCTTTGAGATAAAGAAATTGAAAAAAAAAAAAACAAAAAAAAAACAAAAAAAGACAACAATAGAGAAAAAAAGAGAATTTGCAAAAGTGCGCCACCGAATGTTTCACGAACTCTGTATTGCTTGATCGTCCGAAGGCGAGCTTTATGAGTGATCGTGAAACGACGAACTCACCTGCGGTCAGGAATGGGGCGAAAGAAGAGGGGTGAATACTGAGTTCCTCTTTCTCCCACTCTGAACCATCTTCAAAAGATCTTCCTTAAATTCTCGATTGTCAGATTGATTGAAATAATTATATAAGCGATAGATTTGTTATTTTTCGGCACGTGAAAACGAAATGTTAATTATACGCCTTTTATTCATTTTTTTTTATCTTTATTTTCTTAATTAAAAAAAAATTTGAGAGAAAAAAATAGACATAGTATATTTTATTCCACCTTGTTGGCAAAGCTTTTAGCATAATTGTCGTATTGCGTTTAAAAGTATGCAGATTTTTAAAAAGTAAATGATTTAACGTTAGAAGGATATTATAAAAGTACTACGAATTGAAATAAAACGTCTAACTGTGAAATGTGATTTAATTTTGTTTTCCTTCTTTATATGTAAAATTATCAAATATAAATAAATAATAAATTTTTAATTATAATAAATATGTATATTTAATATATAATTATAATTGTATAATAAATATGTATAATATCTTAATAAGAGAAGAACAATATTTATAATATCATGCATCATATTCCATATTTTCATATTCCAATATAAATATTTTTAATACTAAAATACCATTGTATTTTTTTTTTTCAATTTTTATTCTTGGAATTAAAATTATATTTATATATGTTGAATGATATGTATCATAACGAGATATCACGGATGTCTGATTTGAAAATTTCAATTTTTTAATTATATTTTTACACATTTTATTATGTATTTTATAACGCGATTATATTTTATCGTAGTGTATTGTTTCAGAATCAAATATGAACTTTTATTATTTTTTGTTCTTTATTTATCACTTTTTATCACTTTTATTACAACATATAATTTTATAATAATTTTAATAATGTAGCATAAAAAAACAATTTATGTATTAAAGAAAAATATAATAAATTAATCTTTACGATAAAGATATTTCAATTTTATGATGTTGTAGTTGCGATGTAATGAATGAGATATCTTTATAACATGTTGTCACGCATATAACGATACAAAGGATGAAGGATAAAGTAAATAATGGAATAGATGGAAAATTTAAAGGATGACTGAAACAAAACGCACAAAAGTTGATATGCAAAAAATATCCATTGAAGCTTATTGATTTTTTTTAATTGACTTTTTTTTTTTCATTATTTGCATCGTTACAGTTCCTCTAAAAAAAATTACTGTTAATCATTCGTTGAAGAATATGTTATCTTTGTTACACACGTGTAAATTACGATAGAGAGTGGGTCGGGGCCCCTTGTGTGTTGCATTCTTTAGTAATTGTTACGACACATTTAACGCGTGCTCTCCATAAATTAGATTTTTGATTCTTCATTTTCCGCAACTTAAAATTTAATAAAAATTTTATTAGTAAAAAAAAAAAAAATTGTACCGATACTTTTAGACAATTATAATTTAATACAAAGTTAATCAGTTAAGTAATATCAAAATATATTTTCATATTATATTGAAAATATAAATATAATAAAGAAAGAAGAATACACGCAATATATGTTTAATTCAGAGGAGACGAAGTAATTCATTCTTAAAGAAAACTATTGAAACGTCCTTAAACTTGAATTCATACAACGAATACAAATAAAAATTCAGACATTCTAACTGAATTTTAATCGCTACTTCTGAACTTTTATACGTGTATTTCTTCACATATGTATTTTCATCAGATCTTGCGTTCACGTTTCTACTAGATATATAGACTATTTTTTTCAATTTTTCATAAAGCTAAAAAAAAAATGCAATAATATACATAATATATTTGTAAATATAATTTATATGACAGTTAGTTCCGCATTCATTAGCTTGCGATCAATTATTCGAACACAAGCATGATGCATACGAAAGTACGGCATACGAACTGACGAAAATCATCGAATCCACAATGCTCTTTATGTGTCAATGGATCAATGAGTGCCAGCCAAAGAAAAGTGAGAATAATTCATTGTCGATTCATATAGCGCATATAGCGCGACTGTCCTTCTCTGCACTATAATGTTACGCATAGCATGTTAGTTATTTTAATTAAAGCTGGATAGAAAATTGCGCATGTAAATGCCATCGTACAAGTTATTGAACTTAATATCATTTTAGCCATGTGAAATACAGTTGAAAATGAATCTGGTTATTGATATGTCTTGATAAATTAATAATATATTGTTGAAATTAATTGAAATTAATTATCTGAGATATATTGAAAAATTTATCAAATGTTATAATGAAACATTATAATGAGAAGTTATTGTGAAATTGAAATTATTTTATAAAAATTTAGTATTATAATTTAATTAAGTCATAAAAATAATTTAATTTTTTTTATTTAATTTTATGTTTTTAAGATTATAAATTATTATTCCGATAGTTAAAATATTAGATTATCCTTATATAAGAAAAATATACCAACAAACTTGATTACATGAAAAAAACGATCAGTTAAGAGCGATTGAGTAAATTTGAAAGAATTTTGTAAATTAAAAGAATAAATTACATGGGAAAAAGAAGTGAAACATTTAAAATTGAAAAATTACCTCAAATATGTTTAGTTTTTTTTTTTTTTTTTAATGAAATGATTTATTTTGTACTTCATTTTATTTTCATTATGAAGTGATATAAAATTTTCAAGTATCTTCACGCACTTATTCAAAGAAGAAAAATTCTGACGAAAGCGTCGCTTACGTAATTATTCGTCGACGGCATGGCCACTTCTGTTCCGCATTGTCCAGTTTGAAATTTATACAGTTACACAAAGTACGTGATGATTATGAGTAATGTACCGAATCTTATAAAAGGCGGCATGAGAAAAGTTTGAGGAAAATTTCGATTCGTTACACGAATAATTTATTTAACGCACTTCTTTTTATTCAAAGAATAAAATCATTTCATCGATTCTATAAGGAAATGTGTTTATTAAAAAAAAGTATCAAAAAAAAATTTTTTTATACTATTTTTTCATAATATAAATATTATAAAATTGAATCAAAAATAATTTTTTAATCTTTAGAATATCTTATTATATTCTTATAATAAAAAATTTTTAAAGAAATCTTAATATAATATAAGAATATGTAATTTTTTAATTAAAGAAATTTAAAAATGTTTTTTAACAGCAAATTTAAAAATTTTATGGTCTAAATGTATATTAATACATATATATGTAAGTATTAAAATCCTTGACCTCGATTGCAAAAATGATTTCCTTTTGTCAAATAGAAATCTATATATACAAAGATTGCATTAGAATCGTGTAATAAGATGCATATTGAATATTTGATTAAATATGATATTTATAATAGCTGTAAGATTTATAATAGCTATAGATTTGTTTTGTAATATTATGAATAACGTCTAATTATTTAGTATTTTAGGTAGTTAATAATAATATAATAATTTTTAATAATAAAAGCATTTTGTTATTTCAATTTTTCGATCATATTTATTATGTAATCTCACAAAATGGAAATCTTATTTCAACAATTATATATTTTTATGTTTTTATTTCATTTTATTTTACTTCATATCAAAATTTTATATGAATTTTTGCATTTTTCAATTATTATTCTGAATATTGCTTTGCTTATAATATGCTTAAACAAAGACAAATTACAAATTATTATATTTCCAATTTATTGCAAATAATAAACTTTTCAAAAATTCTGCTTATTATTGATTCTGATAGATGGCACTATATTCCAACATAAGTTCCAACATATTGTTTATTTGTCCGACTGAGCAAGATATAATTTTAAAATAACATATATTTATAATTTTTTTTACATAAAAAAGAAGATACAAAATTATATAATCATACAATTTTTTTAAAAAATATTAAATTTAATTTAAATTTTTATATTTATTCAAATAAATATATACATCTTCAAATCTATTTTTTAAATAAGAAATATAATTTATGTTGTAAGAAATATAATTGGAAAATAAAATAGAGAAATAAAATTTTCGATTATTGAGAAAATATAAATTCCTAGAATAGATAATCACGGTTTCCAAAATTTAATTATTTATTCGGTAACTATCGGGAAGATTCGGCAGTGATCGCGTCAATGTCGAAGTCACGACACACAGATACAAAGAAAATCAACATCGATGGTCGTGAACACCCTGACCTATTCGTTTCATGAGCATAGGCAGACCGAAATCAGACAGCGACGCGACGGTTGAAAAATTATGATAGCATCTTCGTCGTGGTCATCGTTCTCTTTCTTTTTCACGTCACTACTACGCTACTGTGATTGGCCGGCAAATGGTGGACGAACCGTTGTGTTGTTCATTTCGATGACGCGTATATTGTGTGCGTAATCGTGTGCATCGACTGAAAACCATTTGGCAAATTTTCTGGCACGACATCTTGGCCATTATCCTCTTACTCGTAATTTTTTCATCGTTTCGTGCATCATATATATATTATTGTATTAAACGATTTCCTTGTGAAATGATTGTGTACTTTGATTCGCGCAGTATCGATTCGTAGACGGTTGGTTTACAACTGGCATGCATGCTGTATAGCACTCACAGCACCCACGCTGACAGTAAAGCTCTGACTGCAGAAGCGTATGTTGTTATCCCAGTGCTCAGTGATAGATACTTAGCTACGTACACGGAAGAGAAACGCTATCAACATCTCGATGGTGAGTTTGTGAATTATTACGTCATCTGTCACGTCATTTCTTATCATATCATATACATTAATATTCTCTTGAAACATTTTGATATTTGTAATTTATCATCATTGTTTTCGATAAAATATTATTGTGTTCTCCCCACTTCGATCGACATTCTGTCTTTATGTACTTTATACTACTATTCTTTTCAGTTACTGTCTACCATTGTATATATAGATATGTAGTTCTTTTATATGCACTAAAAGTTATATTTACGTGACAAATTAAATTTATGGCTGATTAACTTCAGAGTAAATGTTTTTAAAATGTAATGATTCTATTGGTAATCAACGATATTACGAAATTAATCGTAAGATTTAATATCCTGTGTCTATCATAGTCAAATTTCATGTTAAAGCACGTGGTACTGACGTAAGATATACATATTTTGTCGTAACTATGTATGTACGCAGTATACGTACGAATCGATCACTGACTTTTCAGGGTTATTGCATGAATAAGACTGTAGATTCGAGGAGTAATGTCGTTAAAAAATAATATATCAATAAATATTTTATTGTTTTCTTTACTAAATAATTGCAAATAACTTTGAAATGATATTTATTAAAAATTAAGTAGATTAATTATTATAGTAATCAAATATATTTTTTATTATTTTTTAAACTATTATTAATTATTTTTATTAATTATTTTTATTATTATTATTTTATAATTATTATTATTTATATATTTTATTTAAACAAAGTTCAAAAAATTCGATTTTTCCATATAAAAAATTCGATATCAATTTATTTTTTGAACAAGTTATTTTTTTCTATTAAAATTCTATTAAATCTTGTTAAAATGTTTATTATGACTGAAGTTTCATATTTTACAGAATAGATTTCTTTAAATACATGGCCACTGTTCTAATTTTTCGATAAAAATATATATTATCACGTGAAGGACCACCTGACCTGCTAAAAATAGCACTCATTTGTATCTAATCTTTAAATGAAATCTTTTTTTTAAAAAATGAAATTCGATTAAAAAACATTTTATTGTATAGAATATTTTTTTTCATATTTCTTTATCATTGATGTTTTTAAATACTTATATTAGTTCAAAATAATGATATATGTAATGATATATGAAAAAATAATAATATACATATTACTATATTTATTTTACATATTTATTTTACATTCTTATCTTCTCCTCTAATTATTCATAAATTTGTTATATGTATAATTTTATATTCAAAATTTATTTTAATCGCGTGATATGCTTTAACGTATTTTAATACGTATTTGAACGTATCACTCAATACACATATGAATTATGTAGTTGAATTTTAATTAAGTTCTACTAATTAAATGTTATTGCGAACAAACATTTTTTTCATGCAAGGTTTCTGCGTGCTTTTATGAGCTAGAATAATCACATGAAAAATCGCAAAAAAATCACAAAATAATAAAAATCATATATATTAGTAAATAGATCAAATGAAAAGAAAATGAAAGAAAGTTCATGTCATACAATCTGTGGAAATAATACTATTTATTTTTTTTTAAAATTACAAAATATAAACTATATAGATAAAAGTAATTTTATTTCTTTAAAAAATTTTTTATTTTTCCTTTTTTAATTTTTCAAATGCAAATTAGATATTTATTTTATAATTCATTTCGTTAAGTCTTATTAAATAATAAAATATTAAATTAAAATTTTAATACAGCCTAAGCAAATTAAAAAATATATTTAATATTAATAAATATATATAGAATAAATATATTTAAATATATTTAATATATTAATAAATATATAATAAATATATAATAAATATATTTGATATTGATATTATGAAATATTAATAAAAAAAGTTAAAAAATATTACTAAAAAAGTTAAAGAAACAAAAATAAAATTTTCTTGTAAAAAAATTAAAATAAAGAAAAAATAATGAATTATTATTTTATATTAAACTTAGATTTGTATTATAAACTGAGATTTATATTATATTAATAATAGATTTGTATTATATTATCATACATTATTTTAAATGTTTAAATTTATTTATGAATTCTATGTTTTTCTTTATCCTATTAAAAATCAAACTATTTGACTCAAATCTAATTAATTCTTATTTAAAAATAAAGAAAAAATGATTTACAGAAAGATTACAACAATTTAATAAAAGAAACTATTCTTTTAAATAATGAATCAAAAATTTATAATTTCATAAATATTTTTTATATATATTGTTTTCTTTCTTTTATTTATATTTATTGTTAATATAATATATTTTAATCTTAAGTAAAATATAGTATAAAAAAAAAATACTTAGGTGAAGCTGCGCAAAGTATCAGTGACAGGGAGAAATTACCTTGCCGTTTTCGGTTATTCGACATTCAAAGGATACAGAAGAAAACGTCTTGTGCATGAAAAAGGTATTTTTTGTTCAGAATGTTCAGAATAATTTAACTATTTATGCTAACAGAGGCATTAATATTTTGACTAACCTCGGTTTTTTTCGTTCATAATATGAATTTATTAATAAGGTTTTATTTATCTTTAATCAGAAGTAATTATTCTTTTATAAAAAATGTGTACTATGAAGAAAAATACAATTAAAAATAAAAAAAAATTAAAAAGTAATCGATAAAATATTCAACTTTCTATCTATTATTATGAGACGACCTACTTTTTGATATCATATCATACAATGTTAAAGAAAATTAAATATCAATATTTGATTATTTTCGTACTGGAATATTTGCTTTGAAATAGGAATTAAAGAAACTAATATTTTGAATATGTGTATCAGATTCTTGTTTATTTTTTGACAAGTTTTTTATTGGTATATCTTTTTATAGAACATAAAGTATATTACCAACTAAAATTAGTTTTTTGCTTTTTTCAATATAAACTTCAAATATAAATATATTTTAAAAATAGTATAAAATATATTAAATATATTAAATATATAAAATATATTAAATATATTAAATATATAAAATATATTAAATAGTTACATGTCGAAAATGTCGTGCATGATTTATCTCTTTAATTTTTTATATATATATAAATTGCATATAAGTATTAAAATAACTAATCTCTTGCATATTTTAAAATTCTTATTATATTTACTTGTTGAACAATATTTTTATTTATTGAAGACATATTAAAAAAAAAATGAATAATACGTGAAATAAAATCGCATCAAATATATATCTATAAGATAAAATATATCTATAAGATAAAATATTATTTTATTTTTAGAAATATGTTTTTTATATATAATAAGGAAATTCGATTTATTCCTATTAAGACTTATATTCAAAGATAAATTTATCGCTTTTAATCATTTTGAAATTAATTGTTTTTGTATCTAAGCATTGAATGTTTCTTAATAAAAAGAAAACAAATTTTATCGCGTATAGAGTGAATCGAATGAAAACTATTTTTATATTATTTCTAATTGTTTAGTTATTCAAAAAAATATTTCATATCAAAAAATATATTTTACCGTAATATATATTTAATAAATAAAATATAATTTATAATAAATAATCGACTATTATTTCAAATCGAATCTACAGTAATTTTTTAAGATTTACAAAAATATAAAGATTCTATTCTTAATTCAAATTCATCTACAATAAATAAATAAATATTTCCTATATATCAATATAATATGGAAAGATTAAATAGGGTAAATTTTATTTCAATAGAATTTCAGTTTAAAATTTCTATAAATTACAAGTTTTAACTCTACAAAGTTTTTATAAATTGATTTCCACTTCTTATTTAAATCAAATTACCTCTAGAGAGAGATATTTTATTTACTTTGACTTAAACTGTTTTCTTGCAACTGTATATAATCATCTTATTCAAATTCATAAATTAATTTTTTCTTTACTACTTGTACAAACTGAATTAGCCTTCTCAACATAACCATTTAATTTGGAAAAAACAGAAAAAAAAAAGATAAAAATTAAATAAAAAAATAATAGAATCTGAAAAGAAATAGTAAAGTAAAATAATTTGATATGTTCATGATTCACAGCATTGAAAAAGATGCTAACGCCGGGACGATCGGGACCAATCAGTCCCGAGGAGATCGGCAATGGACCTGATACAAAAGATCCTGGTGCAACAGGAAATGGTTCAGGGACGTATGCGCGTGGTACGCGCACCCCAACCACATATGAGACTGATGAAAGGGCAAAAGAGTTCCTTTCGACCGGAAGAACTGGAAGGAGAAATGCTCTAACGGAAATCTTGAGTCACCATGCAGAAACAGGAATATTGGATTTGCCAGATCGTTTTGAAGAGCTCACCATGGAAACAGGTTAGCCATATGAGCAGTAAATTATCTTGATTGTTTCATTGATCCACGAATATGACAAACAGGAAAATAAGAAATACAAGGTGCGTCTTTTTTCTTTGTTATTTATATGATTATAAAAATAGAATTTTTATCTTTCATAATCAAAGATCAGTGAATTTCTGAGCAAAATTTAAGATTATTAAAGTATATTAAATTTTAATATATTTATGATAAAAGTGTGGAATATAACTTGATAAATCTATATAAATATATTAATATTTGAACACTGGGACTGCATATAATATAATGAATAAAAGTATTTGAAGATAGCAGATATAAATTTCGAATATATTATGTAAACAAAATATATAGTAATAATTCCATTGATTTATTAAGTAACTCTTATTCTGCTGTGTTTGAGTTAATGATAATAAAAATAAAAAATTAAAATATGGAATATGGAAAAATATGGAATAAAATTTTGTATAGTTTATTCTTTAAAAAATCAATTTCAAAAATATATATATATATACTTATACATATGTATATATAAGTAACAATTTATTAATTGTACTATAATATTTTATATATAATATCTACATAATTTTCTGGGAATATATGAAAATCTTAATCATTAGTCTTCACTTAAGAAGAAGAACAAATATATATTATCAAATATATATTATCAAGAGTAAATATTGCATCCATAATTAGATATCTACATAATTTCATATTGATTTTAAATTAAATTGTATTTACACGACCAATTTGCAGGTCAAACGAATAACAGCAATCAAGATTCAAATTCACCGGGTACTTCAAAACAGCAAGGTTGACGCGGTTCTGGATTCGTTTTTATAAATTTATTGGTTGTAATGTAAACACGCAATAAGGAAAGTGTCGTTTGAAGTTCTATAGGAAATTGCTGAAATATCATGAAGTTGTTTTTCTCTTGTGTCAAATCAAACTAGATCTCAAACTTTACGCACAGTTTATTTCGTCGCTATATTGGTGCATACTCGGTGAGGTCGCTTGAAAGCCAGTCATATAAGTATGCAAATACATGAATATTGACATGAATATGTTATTGAAATTGAAGCTTATTGTTTGTAATGATTACTAGTATGACGCAATATCAAGTGGTTTGATTATTAAAAGAATAATATCGAAGATTTAGTAATCTTTATATCGTTAATAATTATTAGTACTCGATTAATATTTCGAGTTCTATTAATACTCAAAATTCGTACAATACAAAATTATTTGGTGTCTCGCGAAAAAAATTTTTCACATTGATGTGAAATCTATATGATAGTCATAGTATGTTTATACGTATGCATATCCATGGGTGTCTTGTAAATTGCGGATATGGTTAACAGGGATAATTGTATAATTATTCTATACATAATTCTTTACACGTTGTGCGTATGCTGCGTTTAGGATTTAATAAAAATATACAATAAGTTTTTAAAAGGCAGGAGGGAGCACTTTTTTAAATAATATATGTACCATTTATGTCGGTAATTTTTCTTGATCTTTTTTTGTCATTAGCAATGATTTATCTTTTCAAATACATTTTTTTAAATTCATACTTAATATATTCAATTTTTTTGCTATTAAACTTTTCGCATCCATAAATGAAATATTTCTTGACTTTATATTATTTATATTATATCATGTATAAGATATTTCACGTATCTTTTTCTTTCTTTTTTTTTTTTTTAGAACGCAAAAAATCTCATTATAAATTCAGAATCTCCACTATAACCTTTAAGTAATCTTGGCTTTTATAATCTTTAAATGATTCTCCACTATGACTTTTAAATAATCTTAACTCTCTAATCATGATCTTCAAGTGACCTTGATCCTCCATCATGATCTTCAAATAATTTTGACTTAACGAAAAGATTAGTATTAAATAAAAACCATTAGATATTTTTGAGAACAAATTTTTATATATAAAATTTGTCTCTTGAACGTATAAAAATTGAAAGAAAAATACGCAGTATATCTCATCTGAGATGTCGTATAAATCATATTGTATCGCTAGATATTTGTGGATGTGAAAAGGTTAAAAGAATTTTATAAAGAATAGATCAAATATATATATATAATAGTATGATAGTACTATGTGTAATGAATTATATTGAGTTTTATAATAATAGTACGATATTCCAGCCAAAGATCAAAAATCTTGTCGATTTTTGATTACTATACTGTCTAACATTGGCCTAATATTATTTAATCTTATTTAAAACTAATATTTTTATTCTCCGTTATTAATTAATAAATAATTAATAAATATTAATAAATTCCATATGTTTTATGTAAGTGTTACATTTAGTTTATTTAAAAAGAAACATTTATCGAATTAAGTATTTATTATAGAAATTTTAATTGTAATTTTGTTCACATTAACAAAAAAATATTACTAAATTATTAAAATTTTCGTAATCTTGCCAATTTCAAAGTATACTTCATTAAATACCTAAGGATATATATTTAATCTGTTCCTAACATTTAGTAACTTAATTACAGCAACGAATATTTACATCTTAATTTTCTAAATGTGCTTTAAATACACAATATTTTAATAGTACAAATAGAATTGGTTACTCTAGATTAAATTTTTTTGTTAATGTGATTTATATTTATATTTAATATAAATAGTATATTTCATTGTAATTGAATATATAATTAATAATAAATTGCAATACATGTTATGATTGTTGATATTTAATGTATCAAATAGTGATATAAAATAGTGACTATAAAAAATATAAAATTCGTATTATGTTTTGCTAAAATTAAACAACTAAAGCAATTATTCAAGTCAAAGAATTTTATAAAAAAGATTCTTTATATTTTCAATAAATTAAGAAATATGTTTAGAAAAATATTTTATGATATTTAAAACTATACAAAATGATAAATTATATAAATTACTTTGAATATATATTGAATTCGTATTGATATTTCTTATTGTGATTCTAAATAGAATATTATAAAATTTTATTTATTATGTATTTATGCATTTTTCTCTCAAATAATAAAGTTATCCATGAAAAAAAAAAAATATACTTTTTGATTGTATGTAGTAAAATACTCAATTTGAACACTGTACTGTAACGTTGGAACATCTTATATAAATACATATAATTTATATGTTTAATTCTTCAATTTATTTTTCAAGTATTGTTTCAAAAAAATGAAATCCTAACAATATGAATAATTTTGAAACTGATTATAAAATAAGAGAGAAACATATTTTTTTCAAAATAAATTTTTTTTAAGCTTATAAAATAACTAGTAATTTATTATATATCATTCTTATGCATATTTTGTATATTTGTTGCAATATTTTAAATTGATTTTATTTTATTGGGATGAATGAATATTTTTCGATGATAAAATTTCTGTTCGTAATAATGTACAGTGCGCTAATTGTGTACAAAATAATAATAACTTTTATCTATGTTGATATAAGAACTTGTACAAATAATAATAAGAACATTAGATCTTTTAACTATCGAATTGTAAATACATATACCAACAGGATGTTTTGCGTGTAACAATAAACGACTGACGAATGATCTCGTGTAAAGGAACTGTTTGTTAGCGTGTTATTTTATTTTTGTTTGTAAGATTTTAGCGTTCCAAGTATTTAATAATATTGTTTCACGTATGTATTAGACTTTTGCTACAATTTAAATACGAATAAATTTTATTGTTACTATAATTAAGAGGATAAACACAAGTAAACAGCATTGAGCTCCTAACAGTATTTATATAAATGATAATTAACTTAACGAAAAAAATATAATATATAAAGATTAGCAAAATAATTTCGATTCAATACTTGTAATGTTTTACATTTTGATTGTACTATTGAAAGAGAAAATAGAATTTCTATAATTTATACATGATTTTCGTTACGAAAATAGAATATAAATATAAAATATAAATATATATATTTATACAAAATACTCGTCATTCGCTTTGTATGATATAATTTTAATCTTTAGGATCCCAAGTTTTGGAAATAACGCTTTATGGATTTTTCTAGAATCCAGCAATTGTGTCAAAAGTATGTTTAAAATGAAAAACTTTATTAAATACTTTTCAATATTAAAATAATTTACATAATAATCTATAAGTCAATATTTCCTAATGTTGAGTAATATATATTTAATATAAGAAGATAATTTTTAAAAGATAATATTTTAAAAGACAATATAAATTATTTCAGTTAGGGATCTAAGGATTAATGAATTTATAAGTATGGGTGCTACTATTTATTTATATAATAATTTATAAATTCTCTTCATATTAGTATCGATACGTGCAATTCAAAATGTATCTTAGCGACAAAACTACGAACAACTAGATAACATTCTATGATACGCGATGAAACTATTGTTAATAAATAATGAATGTCGATCGATGAAAAATCTTGTCGAATAGTATGTACAGCAATGGCCTTCACGATTTAAGTCCATTATTTGAGACTATTGTGTTTAACGAATAAACACGATTGTAACGATGTACGCCACTCGTGTATGGGAACAGAATCATAAATATAATTCATATTATATGTGAATCGGTCATCGTGTTTTCTTTATTCCTTCTCTCTCTCTCTCTCTCTCTCTCTCTCTCTCTCTCTCTCTCTCTCTGATTGTTTTTATGATAATCATCTTGACTTTGAAAGCAGTAGCAATTATTGTGCAAATAATCGAAACAAACCCTAGTGCAGATACAGAACTGTAATCATCATTTTACGACTCTTCACGCAATATGAATATTTAATTGAAACATGGTTGCTAATTATCCTAGAAGTGTAATTTACAACAACACTACACTTGACAATAATCTTACATGATTTATTATTTTCTTTGGCGCGGTATACACGGAACGTAAAATACGGATGTTTGCATCAGATAAATATTTCGAAGAAAATAAATATAATCACGATTTCCGTGGAAGTGATTTAAAAATTATTCATTAGAATCTCAGATTAATCTCTTTTGTAAAATTTAATTCAACGAAAAATAATTTATCACGAAAATTTTATTTTTATTATTTGCTGTAGGGAATTTTAACATTTGTATAATATTTTTAATCCGTGAATGTAAAATATTATATTCGTTTTATTTCGGTAAAAAAAAAAAAAAAAAAATATTTTTCATATGGTTGAAGAAGGAGTGATTTCATTCTATTTTAATTTATTAGTTTTTTTCCCCCCATCTTTAATTCCCATTTTCCATACATTTTGAAACTCGACAACTTCATTACATTACTTGTAACAGATATCGGTATGAACCTATTACAATTATCGTTGGAAATTACTAATCGAGGGTTTTTGTTAAAGAGAAATGGAAACGATGGCAACGATGACATAACACATGGTACAGAAGATATATTGGTTTCCACGGTTACAGAGAGAAAGATATTAAAATGGGCCGGAATTACGAGACAAGATCCATACACGCACCCTTTTTCACAAGCAAATGCAAGCGGCGTAACAATGGAAAAATTCTGTTTACACAACCTGTCAGCTTGTCGTATGTTCACGTATACGGAATACTATAATAATACGGAATACTACTGACGTGAAAGAGGAACTAAACACCAAGCTATTGCAACACGATGTATAAACATCATTAAAGTATAAAATTATAAATGATTTTGATTTTTATTTGTATACGTGCGAATCTTTTTTTTTTTTTTTTTAAATATTATATAAATTGTCGCACTAATTGAAATATGTTAATTTCTTAAAAGTTTATAATCGATATTTTGACAAATTATGTTAAAAAATAATACATTTTTTTCTTAAAATAAAAACTTAAATTTATTATACATAATAGAAGAATAAAAAAAGTATCATTTAGCCTGATAATACTGAATGTTAACTTGGAAATAATCTTTTGAAACTATCTACATTATGTTTTACATATTTTTATATATCGTCAAATCTAATAGGAATATTAATGCGTTTTAAAATATATATCTGTGAAAATAAATTCACATGTAAAGTTTCGCAATATATGGATCTTATAAGAAAATAATTTATCACATCCTTCTCGTATGCCCTTTCTAAACGACAACAAAGCGAAGATATGATTGATGGATCACTATACAGATAAATATAACAGATCGTTAAAGATTTGAACAAACATCAGAGAAACATCTGCTCCAACAAAAAAAAAACAACATCACCTCACGGATACTTTCTCCAGAACGAGCATTTACATATATTTATAATACATATATTTATAATAATAATATTCCAAAAAAAAAAAAGAAGAATATATAATAGAAAATATTAAATCATACTTTATTAACGCTATACGATGATAATCATGACTACATTATCTTTTCATAAAAAGGGTTTTCTTGTTTTATCAAAGATATATATACACATATCCGTGTTTGTAGGCCAGTCATCATCCTTTCTTATCTATTATATTAGCTTTGAAATAAACTCTATATCGAACTTCGTATCAAACTGATCATACGAAATATAATAGAAACCAAAACGAAGTGTGAATTTTTAATCGAAGAACTGATCAAACCGGGGATAGGGATTCGAATATTCGAATAGGGAAATCCATTGAGTACCTTCGATAGGATGTATCGGCCATCGAGCAACTATTTGCGGCAAGTGTGTCAAATGTCCATTCATACATAAACCTATACTCAGTAGTGCATATCTGTAATAGTCTCAATAGTGCACATATCTTCTCTGTCATAGTTAATATACACGCTATATGATATATAACTTGTGCTGTCGTATATCTTTTAGTTCATTTCATGACACGTTCTACACTACGAAGAATACGTATATATTCATCACGTGGTATACCTTGTATTTGTAATCCCACCCTTTTAATTTTTCCTTTATTTTCTCGTCACACCTATCCCAGTTTCAACGATCTTAGGCCGCTTTATAAAACTTCATCGTGATATATTTCACGCATGTTCTACAAAAAACGAGTCGTGCCGTTTTCGCTTTTCTACGATTTATTTCTTTTGTGATTGATTGCGCTTTTTTTGGATATTTTATTTTTTTTTTTTTAGGCGATAAAGTGTTTGAACTTGATATGATGATGATGATGATGATGATGGTTCGTCGTCGCTTTGCGCGCTATTTGTGATATTATTCTTGTTGTTGGATCGGTATTGAATGTTTAAACGTTAAACGAAATGGTGTAAAAATGTCGATTTACGATAATACAGGGAAAAACTTAGATGGAATGCGGCCATTGAATGCGCCAGCTGTCAAGTATCAAAATACATTATTATTCAATATTAAGTACGTATAAAACAATATTTCTATTTCTTGCACTTTTTCTATTGTTTTACATTTTTTTTTTTTTATTATCTTTTTCAATTACAATAACTTTGCGTTGATTGTATTCATAATAATCCATGGCTATATCACTAATAAAAATTAAATAATCGATTTGTAATTGTAATATACATATAATTAGATAACGAATCTAGATTCTTCTATAAGACTGCAAATAAGAGACGAGAATAAATCGTTTCTCTGTCACGGATTTTTACAATTGCCCACCAGTTCACCACCCCATTGAGCCAGATTTCTTTAATGGTTGTTCAAGCAAACGTTTATCGAGTTTCCTGGAACTATGTATAAGACACTCTCCACCCTTTTGACGCATGATAAAACTCTGAAATAACGAGTCTATCTTCTGTTCGCCATGCGATCCTGTGCTGTGCATATCGTTGGTCGCGACGCGCTTCGAAGAAGGTTTACAGATCCTTGTGATCCAATATTTTATGTGAATTTTACCATTCTTCGATTAACTTTCTTTTCTTTTCTTTTTCCCTTTTTTTTTATATATATATATATGTTGAATGAACGTTTCGAGTGAATGTGAAACTTCATTTCTTGCGCTCAAAAAATTGAAAATAATTTAATATGTGTACCTAAATATATCTTAATAAATCGTGATCCATTTTTTGCAATCAATTACTCGATCTTACGTTCTCAAATAAATTAAATTTTCAGGTCGCCCAAGAGCAGTTCAAAGTTTGGCAAATTCGACAATTTGAAAACGGAAATAGAAACTATCGGAAGTAAATTTCTATGAAAATTTCTACTAATATTCGAATTTAATCTATTAATATTCAATTCGAATTGCTTGTTTCAATTGCGTTAGTATTTCGTTTAAATTTTCAGTGTCGGAACCAGTATCATTTTCTGCTAATTCGTTTAATCCAAAGACTGACAGTTTACACGCATCCATGAGACCGATCATTATGTTGGCCCAATTCTTTTCTTTATTCCCTGTGTCGGGGGTTAATAGTCCCGATGCGTCGTATCTTAGGTGATTTTTTTTTTTTTCAATCAATGAGATATTAAAAATATCGTGTATATTAAAAATTAATTCAATATCGCTATCTATCTTTTTTTTTTATACTTAGATTCACTTGGCGCAGCCCGAAATTTATATATTGCACGATATCATTTCTGAGTTCATCGATAATGACCATTTTTAATGTTTTAAGAATTGTTACAACTGGGATAAGTTCAATAAAAATGAGTAAGATTTTTATTTCTAATTTTAACGAAAATTTATAAAAATTTTTAACATAATTTTAAATCGTCATTAATCGAATCATTTATTTATCGTTTATTTTTATTCTTAAGCAACATTTGTTTTCAATGGAACGAATTTGATCGCATCTTTCTTGTTCTTAAAATTGGCTATGCGATGGCCCTGCTTGATGGTAACTTGGGAAAAGCTTGAGAAAGAGCTTTCACAGAGACATAGAAAAATTTCCAAAATCAGTCTGTCCATGAAATTCAAAATCGTGACCATAGTGGTAATGACATTTGCGTTAGGTAAATGATATTTTTCGTTCATATTATATTAATTCTTTTTAAACGCAAAAAAAAATATTTTTAATTTAATTTTTTTCAAAATCGCGATAAATATTTGCAGTTGAGCACAGTTTATCGATAATCCACGGTTACTTCAAAGCGAAAGAATGCATTGAATTTCATGGAGAGCAGAGTATTCTTGCTGTGTATTTCCAGATGCAATTTCCACAGGTAAAAACAATTTTCCTTCGAATATTTTTACAAACTGATCTCTTTTTAAAAAAAAAATAAATTTTTAGAAGAGAAAGTGTTCTAAAAATAATAATTTACATTTAATTAGATATTTTCTAGAACTTCATACAGTTTATGGAAGGGAATATTGGTAGATATCATTAATATCCTCAGTACATTTTCATGGAATTTTGTGGATTTGTTTCTCATTCTTATCAGCATCGCTCTAACGGATCAATTTCGACAATTAAATAGCCGCTTGTATTCTATAAGAGGAAAGGTAAGCAGTTATAATATTTCTCTATTATATATTTATTTTCTGATGATTTACTAATAGTAAAATTTTATTAATAATGTTTTACTCATTTCTTTTATTCAATCTCCCACCTTTTCTCTATCATTCTCTCTCACTTATTCTCTTTGTTTTTTGTCACATGCTAAAAAATTATATTATTTCTTGTATGATTGCTCTAATTAAAATATTATAAAGTTTAGCAATTTATATTATTGTTTCTAATGACGAATTGGTCGTTAGTATCATTTCATTGTTAAGGCAATGCCGGAATGGTGGTGGGCCGAGGCAAGGAGTGACTACAACCATTTGGCAACCTTAACGAGACAACTGGACTCCCATATTTCCATTATGGTTCTCCTATCTTTCGCCACGGACTTATATTTCATCTGCATACAACTACTTTTCTCTTTCAAGTATACATCACAGAAATATTTATTTATGCATGTCGTTTCGTTACTATTATATAAATATCTATTGTAATTTATTATGTAATTCTCTTCTGTCATTTTCCATCTTTGATCTACACATTTTTTTAATCTATTTAAAAATTTATAAATCTTCAATTTTACTTCCATCATTCTATGTGATTAATATTGCTAATTACTATATGCCATACAAATAGACATAGGATAACTATTAAATATTTGAACAGCCCGATGCGAGGTATTATCGAGAAAATCTATTTTGGATTCTCCTTTGGATTCCTTTTGGCTAGAACAACAGTAGTTTCACTGTGTGCTGCGACGATTCACGATGAATCTTTACTTCCGGCACCGATTCTCTATAGTGTTTCCAGTAGCAGTTTCTCCACAGAAGTAAAATTTCAATCTTAATCAATTTGTATAATTATATCGTATAATATATATATAATTGGTTTATTATTTTTATAGGTAATGAGATTTCTATCACAAGTAACGACAGATAACATCTGTTTGACCGGTATGAAATTCTTTTCAGTGACCAGAAGTCTCGTATTGACTGTATGTATATGTATAGATATAATATTCATATATTGATATCCAATCTGAAATGTTTAATTTACAAATTAATTACTATATTTCAGGTAGCAGGAACCATAGTTACATACGAATTAGTTCTAGTCCAGTTTAATACTACTCAGCAAACTGATGCATCGAACACTACAATCGTATGCGAGGTGAAGTAATTGCATTTTCAAGTGTCTTTCAACTTGCAAATGGAATTTTACCTAAAGTATTGCATTTTTTGCTAAAAAATTCATTTGCTTTTAAATTTGCATATATAATTATAATATTTCAATAATTTGAAATGAGTTGAGCTTCTGGTTGAATTGCTGTATTATATGCATATATAATAATGCTATTTAAACTAATTTAAAAATAACTTGACATTAAAAATGATAGGGATTTTTTTTAGTTCAAATATGTTAAAATTTTTTTTTTAACTATATTTATATATATTTAATAAACACAATAATCAGCATTTTGCGAAGAATTCAAATCTTGTGTAAAATATGTTGTTAATATAATCTTATAATAGCTTTATATTCTATTTTTATTTAAAATTTATTTAAGATAATCTTTTATTTCATTTTTCATAATGCACCTCATATTTAATATTAGAAATATATTAATTTAATTAAACAATTATTCATATATGTAATCTTGTAATAAGTATTATATATTATTTTATTTGTTTATATGTATATATTGTTTTATTATAATCACAAAGTAAATTTCTTCATTAGAGTACTTGTATATGTATATATATAATGATCACATTATAGAATAATCTTTGAAATAAATTATTTCTTTCCATTTATGATTTTTGTTTAATTCCATAAATTGTGCACCAATTATGAATTTATATAGATTCTCATATAGTTTCCATTGTATTATATTCAGAATAATTTACTGAAAGTCATAAGAATACAATAAAACCATTGCCTATTATTCATATATATTATAGAGAAACAAATTTATTTCTATATCTGGCTTTCTGGATATTTGTAGAAATTGTATATAATTATAATAATGTATATATGTATATAAATACATATGTAAATACATAAGTTGAGAAATATAATTAATGTAATTTTATCTTTATTTTGAATAAGATTGAAATTTATTTATTAATCTGTTAAGAAAAATATTTTTATTAAGAATGTTTCTACATTATCTACATTCAAAATATAATTAACTAATAATATATTAGAAAAATTTAGAGAATATATTATATATATTGAATTATTTATCAAATTTTGAACATATCAATCACATAAATATATTTTATATAATAAATATAGGTATAAATATAAATATATATATATAGGTATATAATACATTATTACTGATAACAGATTAATAAATTTAATCAATCTTTATCAAATTAGTTACAAAAATCTAAAAGCATTTTTATTTAAATTGAATTTTGCTTTCTTGACTTTTGTTTGTTTGTTTTAGTTGGTCTCGTTGGACTCTCTATCCTCTTAACATCCTTATGAGGAAAAAAATAATATCTTTCTTTCTCCACTTAGTGTTATATATATAACAACAGATTTTATATATTTTAATTAGATACTTGAAGATATGATAAAATAATTGGTCATATGAAAATATCATTGCTGTTTTATATTTTGTTAGCTTCATATTTTTGCAATTAAAATAATGAAATAAATGTTAAATACTTTATATTTTTTAAAATTATTTTTGAAACCCATAAATGTATGTACTTAGTTGTAATCACGTATTATTATTTGTAAAAAAATAAAAAACAAAATAACAAAAAAACTTTGTTATTAATATTACAATATTAAACAAGCTGAAAATATCACTGATGCATCTAAAATTTAATTAATTTAAGAATTTTGTTTCATATTCCCATATTTTCAAATTCCAATACAAAATATCATACAAAAAATGAGAATATTAATATTTAAAAAAAAAAATTTATATGATATATATTTACATATTCACACATTTTCAGAGTGATGCAAATTAAACACATTCACATCAACATAGATAAACTGCTCTCCTTTATCCTATTTTTAAAAAGATGTTTTAATTATTCAATTGATAATGATGATGATTGAATATTTAATCTATTTTTATCTTTCATTTATTTTTTTTCATTATTTATCTTTATACGCTTCATCTCATACGCTTCTCTTCTATCTAATTATCGACAAAATATATTTTGTCGATAAATAAGAGAGCGATCAAAAAGTTTTCGAAACTAACGCCATCTCGTGTTTGGATATTCGAAGCTCCGACTTGTTATTAGCATAGTAGAATGTGCAAGGAGGTATGCGAAGTTACCGACAAGGAAAGCAACATTGTGCGAGAAGGACAGAGAGAATATTTCCCCGCCCCTTTGAAAACATTAAATATAAAAATCATTAATTATTCATTTTCTATTGAAAATTTCTGCATATTTAAACTTGCATCTTAAAGCTGACACTTCAAAGAAGTTTCTTATATTAATTTTATTACAAAATTCTTTTTCATTAATTTTTTATTAATGATTATTGCGTCATACATACTGTCTGATGTATATAAAGACGCCATATTGAAGTTTAATTAATTATTCAATTACTACTTAAAATTTTTGCATTTTTAAGTTTGAATCTTAAATTTAAAGCTTTAAACAAGTTTCTCATGTCAATTTTATGCAGAAATTCTTTTCTATTAATTTTTTATTAACGATTAATGAGTCATACCGTATATCGGCTAATGTATCGAAGACGCTACATTGAAATTTAATTAATTATTCATTTTCTACTTAAAATTTCTGCACTTTTAAGTTTGCATCTTAAAATTAAAGCTTCAGACAAGTTTCTCGTATCAATTTTATGCAGAAATTTTTCTCCATTAATTTTTTATTAACGATTATTGCGTCATATATACATACCGTCTGATATATATAAAGACGCCATATTGAAATTTAATTAATTATTCATTTTCCACTTAAAATTTCTGCATTTTTAAGTTTGCATCTTAAAATTAAAGCTTCAGACAAGTTTCTCATATCAATTTTATGCAGAAATTTTTTTCTATTAATTTTTTATTAACGATTAATGCGTCATACCGTATATCGGCTAATGTATTGAAGACGCTACATTGAAATTTAATTAATTATTCATTTTCCACTTAAAATTTTTGCACTTTTAAGTTTGCATCTTAAAATTAAAGCTCCAGACAAATTTCTCGTATCAATTTTATTACGAAATTCTTCTCCATTAATTTTTCATTAATGATTAACACATCATATCAGATCAACGTTATTAATACGTTTTTCATTAATTTCTTATTCTTATTTAATTTTTTTTAAAATATAAATATATACATTTAAAACGTTGTTTTCTCTCTTACTTTTCTGTATCAATTTTAATATGAAATTTTTTTTATTAATTATTTATTGATTAACAACGCATCATATTATTTAATACATCGGAAATACTATATCAAAGATTAACTAATCATTTTCTAATTAAAATTTGTATACTTTTCAGCTTGCATCTTAAAGATAAAATTTTAAACAAGTTATTCGTATCAAGTTTAATGTGAAATTCTTTTTAATTAATTATTTATTAACGATTAATATATTATATCAGATTGGTATTATTCATATGCAATATGTTTTTTTATTAATTTCTCATTCTTATAAGATTTAATTGTAAATATAATTATATGTATTTAAAGCATTATTTCCTCTTCTATTTTCACATATAAATTTTATTTCTAATTTTATTGTGGTTTAAATGAATAAATTGATTATTCATTACTAGATTACGTGATGGAGATTTGCAGTTAACGTACATTATATAAGAATCATTAATAAATAATTAATGAGAAAGAATTTTGTAATAAAATTAATATAAGAAACTTCTCTGAAGTGTCAGCTTTAAGATACAAGTTTAAATGTGCAGAAATTTTTAATAGAAAATGAATAATTAATGATTTTTATATTTAATGTTTTCAAAGGGGCGGGGAAATATTCTCTCTGTCCTTCTCGCACAATGTTGCTTTCCTTGTCGGTAACTTCGCATACCTCCTTGCACATTCTACTATGCTAATAACAAGTCGGAGCTTCGAATATCCAAACGCGAGATGGCGTTGATCGAAAACTTTTGTCGCGCTCTTACTTATCGAAGTGTTAAAAATATTATTTCGAAAAATCGTTTTTAAAAATACTTAAGAGATGGCGCTAATTCTTAATTCTTATTTTACTTCATCTTTAAAAAAGTATCTTTGACATTCAAGACATAGTATTATCAGTCAATTCTTATTTTTTTTTATTTTTCATCTATTTTTTATCTTTATATATTTTATTTGCGGCATTCTGAAAATAATACAAATTTCAATATTTTTATCATTTTTTTTTCTTTGTTTATACTTGTTTTTGGCTCATGATAAAGTGGTATGAATTGAACATATTTCGTCATTTCTCTTATAAAATTGCAATAAATTTTAATTTTTAAAGAAAAAAATTTCTAATTTCTAATAAATATATTTCTGGAACAGAGATTTTTTAGAGAGATTTTTTAAATTCTTTAATTCTTGAGCTCTCAACTAAAATTCTCAAATTAAAATTTAAACTCTGAGAAATAATTTAAGATTGTTTCTAAACTATTCAATAGAGTAGATTTTATTCGAACAAAAGACATTTGTTATAAATAAATAAATAATCTTTTTGTAAAAAATTAGAATTTGATCCAACTACAAATTTAGTGCAAAATGATGGCTAATTGCCAATGTAATATCTGATGTAATATAAGCACAATCACGGATATAATGTATGATTAAATAAACAAACATGACATTGACTATCTAATTTCGTGTCATTCGTATAAAAATAGTAAACTAGTAATAAAATGTAGATATTAATAACTACTATTTTTACATAATGTAATGTACATTAGTCAAAACTTCATCAACATCGTTCAAACGAAAATAAAAGAAATAAATATATTCGCAGATTTCTATGAATAATTTTTCTCAACGGGTATCATTTTATTTATCGACGTTTAAATGTAAAAATGTGAATGCGAAAAATAAAACGAAAGAAAACAAAACAAAAAGAAAAAAAAAATGTAAAATGGCGCGTATACGAGATACAAAAAGATATGTATAAATAAAACATAAAAGAAAGAAAGGGAAAGAAAGAGTAAGTGAGAATGAGAAGGAAGAAACGTGGGAGAGAGCGTTGAAAGAGGGTTGCCAGTTGCAACCTTAACACAATTCTATTTCTTTCGATGCATCAGGCCGTGTGCTGAAAATGACGCAATCGAAGTGGCGACCGCGAGAATCTTCTGAGGAGAAGACGCGACACGTACGTAAAATGCGCTCCCTCGTACGTATGTACGGTAGAAAAGAAAAAGGCTGCGCGAAGTGGGGTGAAACGATCCGTAGTGGAAGACGAAGAAGCGTCTGGTCGAACGAGTAGAATCGTACGAACCTTCATCGTGGCCGCAATAGCGGATCTTTCATACTGGTGCCCACGTTAACATTTACGACAGATAGCGAGTATCAGTCGTACGTGCAACGACCAAATACGTTTATCGAGCGACAAGTTCAATAAGGTAGCACCGACGAACGAATTCATCAACCGAATTATCAACCGAAAAAAAGGAGAACGAAGTGAAAAGGCAAAAATGGTTTACGAGAGCGACTTCTACACAACTCGACGACCCTACTCACGGCCTTTAGTCTCGTCTTACTCCATCACGGTCAGTATATATGGAATTGCCAACAGAGCGGGATGAAGTATGTCTTAATAATGTTTTTTGCTGGATGGCACTAACGTCGAATAAAAGCGTCAACTATGACACGGGAACACTTTAACCGAGACAATCCTTGTTGTACGGATTTTAATCGATCCAAGAGTCAACGTTTCGCTTCTCCTTTCAAATTCTCGATCGTTTCCAAAGTTTTTTTCCTTCCTTTCTTCGCGTCTCGATTTCTAACCTTTACGACGACGAACGATTTGTCAAAATGGCGAGACGTTGGCTCGTTCGCGATCGAGAATACAACGACACTCCTTGATTACCCTTTTTATTTCATTCACGAAATCGATCAACGACAGTCACGGTTTATCAACGAAATACGGATCGTTGTATCGCTGTCGATGGATCGAATTCGATGCATTTCGAAGTCTCTACTTCCACACTGTATTCCGGCCATTATTATTATTATTATTATTATTATTCATTTACCAATGTTGTCACTGTTGCTACAATTGCTCTTTGACAAGTTTTTCTTCTCAAATCTTGATACATGCACTCGGTGTCTCCCGAAAAATGAAACGAATACTTTGTTCGGTACGAATCGATCGTACTTAGCACAAGCCTAAATTTCAATTAACGTGCACACTTAACAGCACGGATCAAGTATGCCGTCGAGTATCAATTACGAGAGTTAAACCAGATATACGACTGCGCAGTAATAACCTCCAGTTTACGGAATTAATTTGTACCTGCATCAAATAAGCTCTGACACGAGTCACCCGGACGAATTAAACGGACGGGAAAAAAAAAAAAAAAATAAAAAGAAAGATACCTGTTGAATGATTTGTTTTCGACAACATCCTCTGTGTTTTGTAATGCACTTGTACACACATATATGTGTTATATCTCCCAATGTAACCAAGATTTTATTATTTATTCTACCAATTGTATGCTTCGTGTATTCGTTTGTGTCAATAATTGGGATTTAATTGGGATAGGAAATTATTGTTTTAAAGAGATGGAATTTGTTTCAATAAGATACGAGCGATCGTATTCGTAAAAATGATCGCTAGATTAAAGATAACTTTTTCTTTTCCTTTGTTTGTTTATATTATTTGTTTATATTATTTTTAAGCCCTCTTAAACTTCTAATTTGCGAATCATGTATCTCGAATTTTAACGAGTTTCACGTTTATAAATATTAAACGATATTTTCATCTTCGAAAACGAAATATTCGAGAATTCGTATAAAGCAGTGATTCGAGGGCAAAGGAATTAGAGAAACGACTATTCATAGCGTTGCAGCCATTTTCCGGGACTCTTAGTCGCGTTAAACTTAGATATCATACTGACCCGGCAAATTTTGGATTCGTGAGCAGCAAAAAATGTATTTCGAACTTGCACGTAATTTCTTCTATTACGAAAGACTAATTCGCGTTAAAAAAAAAAAAAAAAAAGAATAAATAAGTAATAAAGAAAAATGAACGAAGAAACGAATAAACCACAAACCGAACTTTTTTTTACTTAAACTTGAAGCGAAGAAAATAAAGGAAATCGAGGAAAATTAGTGAAATTTCTCGAGAGGAGAGAATTTTTCAACTTTGTGAACACAAATTTGGATCGATCAAGACCGATTCTCCATCGGTTGATCATGGATCAATGGCATCGTTAAAAGCTGACCCGAATACCTTACTTCCCAACGATTCTAACCATGTTTTGAAAGAGAGGTCTCTCTTTCGAGAGAGAAAGAGACCGAGAGCATCTCGAACGATTCGAAGGAGAAACAGAGACGGATGTAACGACACGCGCACTCACACCAGGGGAGGAAAGAGCGTTTCGGTGGTCAAAGATATGTTATTAAGATACTTTCCGTATTTCTTCGTTTCAGTAGAGGGGATTCTGCGAGCATCGGTGTTGCGTTACTCTGCCCTAATTTAGACTCACGACGTAGACCAACGATGTTGACTCCCACCACTAAGGGAGCTAAAATTCGTCACGGAAATTCATATGTGATTTTCTCACTGGCCATATTTGCTTTTGTAACCTATATATGTCGCAAAAGCTTCGTGTTTCTCGGATTATTGTTCCTCGAAAATTTCGAAACATTTAGATCGATAATGCAATTTCCTTCTATTTTTGTCGTCAAAAACCTTGGACAAAATGGAAGGGGAAACAGAATTTTTTATTTTTATTTTTTTTTCTTACACCGTATATCATCTGAATAAGATTATGAACAATTTTATGAGAGACAAGATAGAACTAACGAGCTTTGATGGGAATTAATTAATAAGATAAAGATAAAAATGTTTCTAAAATAGAACGATAATTATAAAATATTGAAAAAATAAAAAGAGAAAGAGAGAGAGAGAGAGATAAGCTGAACGCTCAACGACGTGTTTGGAGAAACGAAGAGAAGGAAAAATCTACGACAATATACGATATTACATTGGAGGAGCAAGCGTAAGGAGGGATCCGCCTTAAAAAAATCTCGCTCAACAATTCGGAATGTGCGGAGGCGAGCACGAGGGCGCCTTGTGTTGCGTTCCTTGTATACCATTCACTGTTGCTTTCGTCTATTTTTACGCGAGGATGAGAAACACGCTACGCGCTATAACCGTGGCAGAAAATAATCGAGAATAATAAAATAGCGAGGAATCATCGGGGAAAGGAAAAGGACGACGTTCGTATTTTCCTTATCCAATTCTATATTCGTCCGCAGTAACCGGAATGGCGGTGGCACGATCATTGAATAATTTAAGATTCGTCATTTTAACTCGCGTTGCTACGATCGATATAAGTAAATATATGTATATATATATATATATAGTGTCGCAATAATAATGGAAGAATGATGGTGTGGAAGTGAAGACGAATCGAAAGGGATCAAGTTTCTGATCGAAGCTCGGCGAAGATAATAATAACAATAATAATAATAACAATAACAATCCTGAAAAACAATTGATGATCGAGAAGAAGAATACGAGGGGGCAGAAAACGCATCACGAACGATGATGATGAAATTTACAGAAACAGGACTACTTCCCCTGGGAAAAAGTGCCGTTTGTCCCACGACCATCCTTGGTACCGGAACCGTTCACGGTTTGGGGTCGTAAGAGACAGGATCCTAAAAAGGAATTTTACCAATACGTGACCCTGAGGGATAAGGAGGGTGTCGTGCGTGGGAAGAACCCCTCAAAAGAGGATCATGCCCGCCAATTGGTGGCAGGTGGTGCGGTGTCGAAGGTCAGCTTGGATGCCGCAGCCGAATTGGCGAGGAAAGGGCACGTTTTCGGGAAAGGGGTGCTTTCCAGGCCACAGACTACCAACAGACACGTCGCTTTACCGGCCAGCGGTCATACCAAGATACTGATGGCGCTCCAAACGCCATCTTGGTACCGATTTTAAGGATAACCCGCGAACGAATTGGAACTGCATATTAATGGAATATTACGTCTCGTGAAAAGATAAACGGACGGGTTTCGACACGACTGATAAACAATTTTGATACCTTTCCTCCTTAGAATTTACGTTAGATAATACGAATACTTGTCAGGACGAGACTGACTTTATTGATTCTTTGAATAATTAATCGAACGATTTAATAAAATTCTTTCTCGAGAGTTTCGTAAATAGATGTAATAATACAATAGATTAATATTTTCCGTTTTCAAATTTTATGAAATAAATAGAAGGGAGCGAATAAATTGGAACAATCTCTATTATTTTCTATTATTATTACGAACAATTTTATTCGAAATCGTGAATGATTATCGCGATATCGTATATAGAACGAAATAAAAATATTTCTCGATTTTTAAAGATCGCGTTTAACCGCGGGAATTTCGTTCCCGTTAAACGCGTTTAATATTTTAGGCGAATAGAAAGTTTTTATTCGACCCGTATATCTATAATTAGGAAGGCTCGATTTTCCAAAGAAGAATCGATGCTTGAGCAAGATCGAAGGGGACAAAGTGAACAAAGTTTTTAGGTCGAAAACTAATGGCCGAAACGAGACACCGAGATGCACCGGTGCATATGAGCAAAGAACACAAACATAACTTATATACACACTATCGCGTCACGTTATGTATGTGTTTCTTGGCAAGTTGGCTTGATTCAAGTTGCTCAACGTTGCACTCTAGAGTGTCCTGAATATCTCGGCAAGGAGACATTATTAATGCATACGTGTACCGCTCTACGTTTATAATTGGCCCGCACGTTGTGTGTCTACAGATAGATATCGAATATACATTAAATGGCGAGATCTTATCTTAGCGATCCTCCTCTTTCCCCTTTTCCCTCAACTTAACATCAAGTGATTAAAAAATTATATTCGTGCTAATTATCACGATTCCCTTCCAAAAAAAAAAAAAAAAAATAATAATAAAGAAAATTCGTTCAACGCTTCGTCTGAATTTAATTTAAAATAAAATACTAACCGAACGTGGCAAAATGTCGAGATATCCTTTTTCCTTTTTCTCGATAATCGATCATTTCAAACGATCACGCAAGCGAGATGAGATCAGACGAAGGTGTACCATGACTCGAAGTTTTGCGAATTATTATTCGTATTATCGTATTATTGGCGAACGTGTGAATGCGCTCGCCTCGAAAGTATCGTTCGAAACGATTTTAAAAATTTTCCAACGCGATCGCACATTAACGTTCACCAATGTTTACGATAATTCGCAAAAAATTCGAACTTTCTTATTTTTCACAACCCGACACACAATGTCCTCTTTTCCTTCGGATACATGTTGTTCCAAAAGACGGAGAGCAGAGCGAATGAAAAAGCAAATTAAATTGATCGAAATTATACCTATATGTGTACATATATATATATATATATATATATNATATATATATATATATATATATATATATATATACACGTATATAGTTAGAAAGAGAAGAGTGTTCTTTCGAATTTTCGAGAAATGGAAAGAAATCGAGTTCTGTTCTCCGGAAACGCCTCTGTTCTCCACATTGTTGACCTTGTGTAACCCGAATCTATAGACGCCTCGGCATTACGTGGTCCGTGACTATCCGGAAGTCGGGGTGAGGTCTGCTCAAGAGCAGTACAGCTATGCCTACACCAACACCAGCTCGTCGTCTTCCTCCTCCTCCACGGATCCGTACAGTCGCCGCCCGCGCAAGTCCAGCTACAGCGAGGAGAGCGTCTACAAGAGGGAGAGCGGCCCGTACGGATCGTACTCGACCGAGAGATCGACCAGGACATCGAGTGGCGGCGCTCCTGGAAGCTATCATTCCTCCTACGAGTCCCACACTTCCGGCCGTTTGCCAGGCGGCACCACTTACCGCCATTTCTCCTACCGTGTCTAAATTCCCGATCTCCAACGACCTCGATCGAGCAGCAGCCTCCATCTTCGACCCTGGAACGGAACGGAACAACGACCCCGTTTCTTCCTGTTTCTCTCTCGCTCGATCGAAACTGTTCGGATAGGGAGACGAGCTTTTTCTTTCTGTATCTTTCCTTGTATCTTTTCTATGATCGGTATATAATCGTCGTGGTTTTCTCCAATCGCAGTGATTCCCAACCTTTGAGTCGTGACTCGATTCTTTTTACATTCGGTTTTTATATTCATTATATTCTTTTTTCTTTTTTTTTTTTTTTTCTGGAAATTTGAAAAGGAGAAATTTGAAAACGGTCGTGGCCAATTATTTGAACGTAATAAAAAAAGGGGTTGCAACTCGAGAAAGGTTGGAATACGCTGTTCTGTTCATTATCTCAAGTAATAGCGTCGATCAAATTATGTAATCGCGCGATGAAAATCGATCATCTTGTAATTTGGATATTTTGAAATTGAATGGTGTTAATTATTGGCTGTTGTTAAATTATATATAAACGATGTATTGGATATTAAAAAATATGTATTTGTTACACGAACGATACAAATAACAAATTTGGAATTACGCTCTACTTGTTTTAGCAATTTTATTATTTTTATCGATTGTACGTGTGGGAGTGTTTCTTCTTTTTTTTCTTCTTCTTCTTCTTCTTTTCGCTTTCGAACCAATGATTTTATTTATATTATCCGTGTGCCAGCATATATTTCGTTTCCTTCAGCGTGTGTGTGTGAGCGTGCGCGCGCGTGTGTGTGTGTGTGTAACGACAGTGTGTGAATTAATAAAAGAGAACGCATTACAAGTATCTTTGCAATTTATCGGACATCAAACATCGAACATATTGATCACTACTCGAACAAAAAAAAAAAAAAAAAATACGTGCGTTCACTTTTCTGTGTACCAAACTGTTAATCGTGACTAACATCTTAAAACCAACCAATCTCGATAGACACACAACGCGACAATCGGCCAAATAATTCATTTTGTTCCGCGGATCGTTGAAAATTTATTCGTCATCACCTTTTTTTTTTTTTTTCTTTTTCTCTCTCTCTCTTTTTCTCTTGGCCCAAGGTACACTTTTCCTTGCTTTTCTATTCCTCTCCGATCTCAATTAATCGGAAATCGCGCATTAATCGATCACGTTTCGCACACGAACGATTTCGACCGACGGTCGCCAATTCTATGACACGCACGTGTGTAAACGAAGGAAATAGAGGGAATGAGTAAAGTGATGCGTGAAAAGAAAAAAAAAACGAAAAAAAAAAAAAATGAATAAATAAAAATAAAAAATAAAAAAAGAGTGCAGAAAAGGATATTGTATTGCGAATTATATTACTAACCGGGTGTTGTTCTTCTTCTTTCTATTTATTCTGCTTCCCACTGTGACTCCTCGTCCCAATCGCCGCCGTCGGATCGCATCCAATATCGTCGAAAATCGATTCGAAAACGAAAATCGCACACAAAACTCTGTAAATACGACGAAAAACCGGGGCGCAGGATCGACCGATTACATTACCGATCTCTACGATTCTTCAGGTAAGTAGCATGGAGTTGCAAGCTAATGGAGAACAGAAAAAAAAAAAAAATAATAGCTCGCTTGAATCGCAAAAAAGTACGGCAAAAGCAAGATTTTAACACAGTCGATTTTTGCAAAATCATCGATTCTCACCGCAAGATTTCTCTTCTTCTTCTTCTTTTTTTTTTTTTTTCTTTTTTTAAAGCTGCTCACAGTACGACGCTTTTCTGCTTATTCCATCTCCTCATTATTAAACCGCATCGTCGACCGCATCTTCGCAAATCATCCATAGTATCATGGAAATTACTGGAAACGTTGTTTCAATCACGACGATCATTAGCGCAACGCCTGATCGACTGCTTTAGCTGCTGATCGCTTCGAAATCGGTGAATGAGTGGTGGAAAAGAAAGGCAAAGACGGAGGAGGAGGGGAAAAAATGATTAGAGAGGATGATTAGAGAGATCGTAGATTGGCAAAGCACTGTTGCAGATTGCGATCACAACGATTGAATGTAATAAATCTAATCCGATTTTCTTTAATCTCAAATTACTGGAACACCGTTTCACGATTGCAATCACGATTGATCATTAGCGTAATTTCTACTTATCGTTTCTAATCGCATCAACGTCAATGGGAATGAACGGAAGAAGGAAAGAAATGCGAAAGAAAGGGAAGAATGGTAGCTATTAATCAAATTAATATCTAATCAATTACTGATTGATATAATGCCTATCGAATATTATCGCATTGCTGGTCACGAATAAATCCATTACCATGAGAATGAATGGCGGAAGAGAGAGATTGCAAAAATATTGCTATAAATCGCTATTAATCAATACAATATCTAATCTAAATTACCATTGCCATTGCTGATCGCGAATAAATTCGTTCCAAAAAAAGAGAAAGAGATCGTAAGTTGCTAAAATACTGCACAAATTGATCGATATAATCGAATATTGTCGCATTGCTGGTCACGAATAAATTATTTATTACCATTACCATAAGAATGAATGGCGAAAGAGAGAAAGAGATTTGCTAAATTACTGCTTCAAATTGCTGCTATTAATCGATTACCATTGCCATCGCTGACCGCGAATGAATCCAATATCGGAAGAACGAATGGCGAGGGAAAGAAAAGAAAAGAGAGATAAGCGAGAGAAAGAGAGAGAGAGAAAGGGAGGAGAGAATGGACAGCGCAAATGCTTGATAGGAGCACTGGCTTGCCCGAAGCTAATTGTCGCTGATGCCGCTGGGAACGTAACGATTAGTCGACGAATTAGTAAAGCAGAGTTCGTGCCTCTAGTTGAGAAGCATTCCCCGCATGCCATACGTGGCTCATAAACGGCTCGTCACCGTAATCCACATGCCGTATCATACTGTGTACTATGGCGGCACCCTGATACCGATAAGAGTTCACTCGCGCGTACGTCCAAGCGTCCTTGCAGCTGAGCTCAACAGGATACGCAGCCTGACAAGACCGTCCACCGAATCCTACGTGGAAAAGTATCTTCAATCGAAGGATCGCATCGTAAGTCTGCCTAAGATATCTCCTTCGATATCTCTGTTTCAACGCAAAGAAAAAAAAAGAAAAAAAAAGTGAGAAAAAACAGTCGCATCGTTCACGGCCATTAAGCATGAGTGTCGTCACCATCATCATCACCATCATCATCATCATCATCATCCATGTCGTCGAGACATGCCCGAATCATCGAATCATTCGTGCATCGTCGCATCTCTTCACGATTACAACCCGTTGTTCTTCGACGACATCTGGCATCATCGTTCGGCGGAATCGCGTCGTCTTTTTTACACAAGATCGAATTTTTTATACTTTTACGATTGTCATCGAGTACATATATATATATATGTATTATTATATTATTGAGAATTTGTCTCAATTACTCGAAGCATGTCTAAAATTATTGAAATTTTTAAACGTCCCATCTTGTAACGCCGCGATTATATATATATATTTTTTTTTTCGATTTAACCGAATAACGAAACGATCGTTGTTATTGGCTAATACTAATTCCTGTCTCAGAAACAGAGCGAGAATCTTCGCACTGTATATTTTACGTATCTCTCTTCACAGTACTTCGACGACGAGGCGAGGGAAATACGTGCGAGAGTGGATTCCCTTCTTCGACGAGTACACATCTTCATCCCACGAGCCGTAGCAAGGTATATTTAACCGTTATTCGCTATAAAAAACGCGAACGAACGCGGCCGTTTCTCTCCGTCTCCGTCTATCTCTCTCTCTCTCTCCGTCCGATTATATCCATCCACTTTCCACCCATACTCGGTAATGCGAAACGACTTTTCGCTTTTTCTAGCGACTTCGCGGAAGAAATAGTGCCGGAACGCATGCGCAGCGGGGATTACGTCCGCCGGCTTATCTCGGGCAAGCACAATACGAAGAAGGACACGATAGAGCCGGTCTCATGGTACGAGGTACCCGATCGAGGTAACTTTGGTAATCTGGCGTGTGTTAAGTATGTCGCCGGCAAGCCACACTCGATCAGGAAACCCTACTTCAAGGTCGCCGATTTACGCCCGTCCGACATCAAAAACGATGTCAATTTTCTCAGTTACTACAGCAAGAACCGCGTTGCGGCGGCTAACGCCTGTGAGTAATTATATACCGAGGATCACAAAACGACGATTACACGAATACAGACCGCCGATAAACTCGTGAGGACGCGTGTGACGCGTGTGTTATCGAGCTGTCCTAAAATTTCTCTTTTTATTATACGCAACATTGCTGTTTTGCACGAAAAATTGCACGATCTTTTTTATACTTGTCATTAGGATATTTATTTATTTTATAATTTTTTTTTTACGAATCGTAAATGGAAAAATGGAAAGAACTTCTAGGACAGCTAGATATATATATATATATATATTTTTTTTTCGATCGAATCTTTGTCGGGAACGGACGATACGAACGAATGAAAATTTTTTTATCCAAACACGGAACATGTAGAAAGGAAGATAATAGAAATAATAATAGTCACGTTATTACGAGAAAGATCGAATGACGAATAATTATCGAAGATGCATAATTATTAATCGTTACATCGTTCGATGTGGAAATCGAAAGAAAGTGAAAAAAAAAAAAGGGCGATGTTATTCGGCATTACTTTCCCGTACATTTTTTTTAATATAAGATATATCTTGAGGAAAATTTTGGAAAAATAAAAGCGGCCATGTGACGCCGTTGTGTGTACCTTTCTTTTTTTGGTTTTTCTTTCCCGCTCGGTTTTCTACTCTTTTTTTCCACTCTTTTTTGGATGGATTGCCATTGGATTCGCTCTGATCTGTCAATTTTTTTGCTGTGCTGTGTTACTCTTGTTTTTTTTCTTTTTTCTTTTTTTTTTTTTTTTTTTTTTNCCTCGATCGTTACGTAGTTTCCTCTTCTACAATCTTTTTTTTTTTTTTCCTCGTTCTTTTGTATGTATGTACAGATTTTATTGTTATAAACTGTGTCTAATTAAAATATGTACACGTAGCGACACGAAGGTGTGAGACGTTGTTTTTTTGTTCGTCTTTTTTCGTTGTTTACTTTTTTCGTTTTGCTCGTCTCTCGGGCTCGTCGATATCTCGACAATTGACGGCAATATTTCGACGTCGATATTTCGAGTTACGGAAAAAAAGAAAAAAAAAAAAAAAAAAAGAAAAAAAAAAAAAAAAAGGAAAAGAAAGAAAGAAAGGAAAAAAAAAAGAAAAAAAGAAAGAAAGAAAGAAAAAACGAAAACTGAGATGAAAGCAACGATTTTTCACACGAAGGGGAGAAGTGCAGTGTCGGGCAGAACCAGATGACTGGGACACGTAAATAGGGGTAGAAATGGCAGAGGAAGAACCAGTTGGGCTTTTTTGAACGTTTCAGGCAAAGGGTGGAGGAATCGGGTTCCAGAGCTGTACGAGGATCCGACAAAAATGAAACGGAAGGAGGAGGAAGAGAATGAGAGTGAAGCAGCTGCCGAAGAGTGACGACGCTCGCGTTATTAAAATATTTTTTCTTTTTTTTTTTTCTTCAAATTTACAAAAATCCACACGTTTTCACAATCACGTGCGTGGCACCTTGCACACAACGATCACCAACACGATTGCACCACGAGAGAATCAATTGTCGATAAAAAAAAAAAAAAAAAAAAATCTTTCGCACGGAGATGTATAATGCGCACAGATTAGAAACCGACTGATTGTGAATTTCGTTGAGAAAAAAATTGGTCGAACTAATTAAAAGATTGATTAACAACACTTTTGCTGTCGGTTTTCGCACGAGTAATGACGAAAAGACTGAAAAAAATAAAAAAAATATAACAAAATAAAATAAAACGTTAACAGCGGTTACGAGTAATCGTTCATACGATTTTCACTTAAAAAGAAAAAAAATAAACAAACTCTACGCGATTTCGAGAAATTCACCAATTACTCCTTGTGTATATATATACTAATTACGTAAAACTTGTCCGATAAAAAAAAAAGAAAAAAAAAAAATAAATATCCAAATAAACCAATGTCCGATGATTAAAAGAAAAAAAAAAGAAACAAAAAACGACGATCGTCGATTGTTTTCCTTGCACAAATAATCGGAAAGATTAGAGGAGCTGGCTATCCGAGTGAATATGCGTTTCGTTCGAGGTAAGCTTCATCATGCGTGCTTTTGCAGATTCTAATAATAATAAAATCAGGCCGATTTTTATATTTTTCTCGCTGAACCGAGGTTGAGTGGTTTTTTTTTTTCTTTTTCTTTTTCTTTTTCTTTTTCTTTTCTCGGTTGTCGAGAAAGGAAATGATTAATCATTGATTGCAACAAGAGCGATATTAAGAAAAAAAGACTATACAAAATGATATCGCAGCGGCTAAAATCTTGAGAGGGGTGTGTACAAGGAGGAACAAGGGACGAATATCCTCCCCCGTGCCACAACCACGTTTAAATATTGTACATATGCGATGCAATTATCCTAACGATAATCGTAACAAAAAAATATCGAACCCATTTTCATCGAAGCGACAGATGCGGTGGAATCAACGTTAAGTATATATATATACATATATACCGTGTGTCCTTTTCTTTTAATCGACCATCATTCGTGTTTGTATAACAGGAAATAATCGAAGCAAGACGAGAATAATAATTTCATCGTTTTTTTTTCTCTCTCTCTCTCTCTCTCTCTCGTGATAATAAATTACATCGTAATATATCGTCGTAACAAAAAAACCAAAAAAAAAAAATCAATTTCAGGAATAATTTCATAATATTCACCGATATATTCTGAAAATTCTGAAATCTTCTAATATGCTAATTCATTCTCAGTCGCACACCATCGTATGTTTGAACGTTTAATTCTTTTCTTTTATCGTTTCTCACGAAGCTTTTCTATCATTATTGTTGATAAAATTAAACGTTGATTAACAAAAGTTGATTAATATTTCTAACTTCTTTTCTTTTTTTTATTTTTAACTTATGGCTTTGTTCCATTCGTTTACATTCATCTCTTTCTCTCTCTCTCTTTTTTTTTTTTTTTTGTTTCATTTTCAGATACATACGAAATTATATGGAAAATATGTTATTAATCGTTAATCGAACATTTATGTTTCATATCATCATGTATAGCCCCAGATCAACCGATGACGGAAAGAGAGTTGCGGAAGGGTCAGTAGAAATTTCTCTAACAATCGTCGATTAATTCGTTCCTTTCTTCTTCTCTTACTTCCCTTCAATTTTTTTTATTTTTTTTTTGCTTTTCATTCATCATTCTGACAAATTTTAGCGCGAGCGTTGCAACCCGATTTGGACGAGTCGACCCTGAGAAAAGGTAAAAAGGCCTCTTGAAATATCCCGAACGTTCCTGAAAAAAAAATGTGATCGTTTCGTGTGTCTAGTAACGGATAAAACGCGTAGAGAAACGGAATCGAGAGCGGAGAAGAAACGTGGATTCTCCAGTCGCGAGAAAATTCTCGAGGAGGAGAAGGAAATCGTGGAGACCGTGAAAGCTTCAGTGACGCAATCCGCGCCTGTGAAAGAGGTTCAATCCGTGCCAAAAGCTGCGACAGAAGCTGAATCCCCAAGCAAAGCCGAACATCCTGCGAAAAAACCGGAACCGGAAGCAACGACGGAGCCTGAACCGGCGAAACACCCAGAACCCGCGAAAGAACCCTCACCCGAACCTCCAAAAGAACCCACGCCTGAACTCGAACCTCCAAAAGAACCCACGCCTGAACCCCTGAAAGAACCTACGCCTGAACCCACGCCTGAACCCGAACCCCCGAAAGAACCTACGCCTGAACCTACGCCTGAACCCGAATCGCTTTCAGAGACTGGAAAAGCGGTGGAATGGAATCAAGGAAACTTAACAGAATCCGCGAAGGACGATGCGGTAGTGGAAGAAGCAGAAACGAATCGAGAACCGGTAGAAGAATCGAAGAGAGAGGTTAACGAAGGTGTAAGTGAATCAGAGGAGGAAACTGATGAGAAGCAGGCAACGACTGAGGATGGTATGTTGTTTCGAAGCAGGGTTGGAGCTATATCCGTTGAAAAATTAAATCTCGAATAAAATCACTTCGAGTAATTATTTGTTAAAATGAATCGAATTTTCACGATCGAATTACGAAATCATATATCGTTGTTTAACAAAAAAGCAAAAAAAAAAAATAAATTTCAGGAATAATTTCATATTCACCGATATATTCTGAAAATTCGAAATCTTCTTAATATGCTAATTCATTCTCAGATCATCGTACGTTTGAATTCTTTTCTTTTATCGTTTTATTAAAGTTTCTTACGAAGCTTTTTATCATTATTGTTGGACTGACATAACCGATGGATTATCATCGAAGTGAATTTATTCGTTACAACTTCAATTATTATAATTTATATTATTTAATTTCGCCCATCGCTGTTTCGAAGGAAGGAAGAGTCGATTTAAAGAATTTGTGGATAAGTATATCGAACAATTAGCGGCGAGTATGAAATACGTATCTATAATACGACGTGTCTCTTATGTTGCATGATATTCGTTTCGTAACGTGTATGATTCCTTGTTCGGTTTTAGAAATCTGTATCCTGTATATGCATTGGTAACAACAAAACGGGATAAATAAATAATTCTCACTTCCCTTCAAACAGACACTTAGCGAGGAAAATTTTCTCACGTTTCAGTGAGGCAAGATAAGGAGGAGGCGGTCAAGAGAATAGAGCAGTACCTTATTAACGCTGCCGAGCAGGCGAGGTGGGTAGCCCTAATAGTGGCCTAAAATTGGCACCTATCGGTGATAAAAAAAATATTGCGCAACAAATCGAGACGGTTTGAAAATGATTTCGACACGCGTTCATACGCGAAATCGATCAACTGTTGTAACATTGAACTCGGCCAGGTGACCTGGTAAAATCCTGGCTTCGAATTTGACATGCTTGCCAAAAAATATCGATCTCTGAGATGTCTGATTTATTAGATAATAATCGGGCGATTAATGATAATTTGAAATTTTGCTTGACCCGTCGCAGGACCGAAGAGGAGCGTAAAATAGCTGCCGAGGAAGAACGGGCGAGGCTAGAGATGGAGGAGACGAAGGCGTGGGAGCAGCTGCAAATAGCACAGGAGCGGGTAGCTCATCTCGATGAGATTATCGAGCAAGAAAAAATCGAAGAAAAGAGGAAGGCAGAGGAGGAGAAGATCGAAGCTGACCTCTTGGAAACTCGAAAGATACTCGAGGAAGAGAGGTAAGTGAGGTAATTTTGTTCGAAAAAAAAAAAAAAAATGAAAAGAAAACCGAGTTTTCTTTCTTTCTCGGGATCACACGATAGATCCTGATGCACGACAATTAACGTATAATCTTTTCTTCCCGTAGAAAGTTAGAGGAGGCTAAAACGGCGGCTTTGCTGGCGGAACAGGAGCGGATGTTGATCGAGGAACAATTGGAGAAAACGCGGGAGGAAGAGGAGAAGGAGGAAAGGTTGGCGAACGTCACCTTCCTCGACCAAGATCGGGAAGTGAAAAGCATCGATCATTGTCGCGACGACGAGATAACGTGCGATATTACCGATCAAGACAGGGAGGAGAAGCCCTACGATCCAATCACCGACGACGAGACCCAGGTAAATATTTTGAAACAAATATCGTTTGCCATTGTCGAAACAAAAAAATTTTCTTCCAATGAGAAATTTTATATATATATATATATATCTTGTTTGTTGCACGCGCTGCGATCCAAAGATCGAAGAGGAGGATGCGCACGAGGAATGTGAGTGCGACATGGCGGAGAATCCTTTCGTGGAGGAGCCGGAAGGGGCGGAAGGAAAGCCGGTGACCGGTGGGAATAGCGTGGAGGAATCGTCGAAAACCGAAGAAGTAACGTCGGGCGGAGAGGAAAGTTTCGTGTGGGGTGACGAGGATGATTAAAACAAATCCTCCGAGAAATCGTTCGTGCTCGCATCTCTTTAAATAATCGCGACTCGTTGTCGTTGAGTCACGGTATAATAAGGATGAACGTTTGATAATTTGCTACATTGTTAAAAGTATTCTGTTTCGAATCGTTTCTCTCTTTCTCTCTATCACATTTTCGATTCTATCGTTAACACAATTCGTATTCTATCGTTAATTACCCATACACGCGATTTTTCTTTTATTTTTCACCAATGAAAATCGCTCGATCGAGCTTCAATCTCGATTCTTGTCGGTTTGCTCGTCATTCGTTGCACTTGTGGAGAAAAAAATTTCACGGTTTTGATAAAATTGAAAATAATCTTTCCAATGGATTCTTTATATCTTACATATTCAATTATTGTTAATATTAATCGTTGAACGATTTTAATTTTAATAATTGTATATCTTAGTTGATTCTATTATGGGTCTCCGAGTTTGTGCAAAACTACTTGTACAAAGTAGAAAGTTGACGAGAGAGAGAAAAAAAAAAAAAAAGACAATTTCTCTTTCGAGAGAAACAAATTGTTTTAGTAAGTTTTCAAGTTGTATATGTAGAATATATGTTATAATGTATTTATTTTATGTAATTTATCTTACGACATCGTCCAGTTCCAACTTATTTCTCTTAATCGATATCAGAGAATGGTTTACTAGGTCTTACGTAACGTATAAATAATGTACATCCTGCTATAATTGGAAATGAAAGCGAGTATACAGGAAATTATTAATTTCATAAAACGATTAAGCTGGAAATGGAAAAGTTGAATGAAATTTTATAGATATCTACACGATGCGATGTTTCTTTCATTCTGTTCTAATTTTTTCCGCGTCTTGTTGCTAAAAAAAAAAAAAAAGAAAAAGAAAAAGAAAAGCGAAAAAAAAAATATTATTTATTAATTATCACGTTATTCTTGATACACTGCACTTTTCATACTTTTAGCACTTTCCTGTATATTTCTATAATACGTATTTCGATTATATACACTTCTCTAGCAATAAATATGTAATTAACATTCGAATATTTGTGATAAATTTATATTCTCTACCTTCTTTCATATATTCAAAAGTCCGCTTCATATTTCGATACATTTTTTTTTCTTTAAATATTGAAAAATTCGTTAAATATTTTGCCTTTTTACCTCTAAAATTGATCGCTAATATTATTTTCGAGTTGATATTAAAAAACGTAAATGTCACGATTATAAGGTCACTTTCGTAGGAAGAACAATCGCGTATACCTTAACCTTGGTTAATATTACGTAACATCGTAGTTAATACAAATACCAGGTAAATCGATAATAAAAACATCGATGATCACGTGTTTCAGCCTACCTTTGCTGCAACGATTCTTCTATAACTATGCTCGAAAATAATATCGAAAACTGATCAAAAAGAAACTTTAAAATATTATAAATATTATTGCACATACCGCTACGATTATAACATCAATTTCTCTTCAATCTTTCTTTTCCAATAGACCGATAAAAATATACTCTCTACCTATTTAGCAACTTTCGAACCCCAGCGTATCCCTAGATTATTCAAAAGTATCACGTAGAAAGTACGAAAAAAGCGACGCCTGGAAAAGACAGAAAAATTTTATCCTTAACCCGTCGATAGGATCTCGAAACGCGATCGACGATTATATATTTTTTTCCAAAACGAAAAGCCGTAAGCGACGAGGCGAAATCGTTGGTAAAAGGCAGGAGGGTCGTAATCAGGAAACCGATGATCGTCCGCCGACGACGGTGCGTTGGCCTGCCGTCACTACCATAATTTTCGAAAATGAGCGCCGAGATTAGAGAGAATTGACGTCATAGTCGCGACAATAAAAAGAGGGATTCGTTTGTCCGTCCATTTGGTGGAACAGCAACTTATACTATACCGTATCATTGAATCGTCGATGATGAATCGAGAAAGCGGGATGCGGCTCGTAACGCGCAACCGACGTGCGTTATGAGTAGATGCATCATGCGTGTACGTGTGTAAGTATGAAATTCTCGCGCATGCGTAGTGTGCAATAACTCGAACGAATTATTTTTCGATTCGAGGAATATGAGTATATGAGAATGGTTGACTTTGATCTTGTAACAAGTTCGAGGGAAATCGATATCTCGATTTCTTTTTTTTTCTCCTTTTTCGTTGAAATATTTAGGAATTTCGATCGTTACGTATAAGCATATTTATTTTTCTTCCTTGTATCCACGAAAACAACTCGATCGAATAATAAAAATTCGAGCGACGATTTTTATGAATTTAAAAGCTTGTTTGTTTTTTGCGTAATCTTACTTACTGCGATGTTTTCCAAAGCGAATTATTTAATTCATAACCTAATTCAATTTTGTTTAGTTGCGTGCACGCGGTTTTGTTGAAATATTTACGAAATATATATATATATATATGTTCGTCGAATAGCTTTTGTAATACCGTGTATCTCCGTTCTGTACATGACATTGGCAATGAAACAGACAGTTTAATGCGAATGTAAGCGCAAAAGGGACCTTGGAAAAGTCGATTCACCGATGATAAACCGTGTTTTCTTTCGAAACACGTAACGATTCTTGTCCCCGTTCAACAATTCTCGATTTTTCAAAAGATTCGAGAAAAAAACTAATCGAAGAATAACGCGAAAGATTAAAAAAGATTTCGTAAAACGTATACTATTAACAAATAAATTATGTGACCAATCAAACTTGTATAAAATAAAATAATTGCAGTTGAATAAACGAGCGAGATCGTCATTGTTGTCGTCATCACGAATCGATGACGAAGGTGCCGCTTTACATCGAATCGATAATAGCGCGATAGACGCGAGACCTTTGCTCTAACCTTAATGCTTCTTTCCAACAGACGAAAATATGGAAAAAACGAAGAATAAAGGAGCAAAAAAAAAAAAAGAAATATCGATCAACATCAATGCCACGAAAATATTTTTCCTATCCATGAGTTTTGTTTTCGGAAAGGAAAGGAAAGGAAAAGAAGGGAAGATGAAATCGATGAGGGCAAAAGTAAGTTGGTTGTCCAATGTTCGGGACAACTGACGTCAGTGCAGAGTTGTTGGCGCCACTGTCCTATGACGTCATTAGGGGTGTACTTGGGGTGGTATGCGGGGGTGGTCGAGGTTTCAGAGGCGTAGAGTTCAGGAAGCGGCGATAAGAATTTTCCCGATAATCCTGACGTCGAAATAGAATGCTTAATCCGTCCAGATTAAGGAAAGGTTATCACGAACAACTTAATGATTATTCGTCCAGCAATTTTTTTGTACCAATGGAATATCTTAATTGAGAAGGAAGAAAACATATTTTCGCATTCGATCCTGATCGATCATTTGCGTAATCTTTATTTTTAATTTTAATTTATCGAGACGAAAGAGGCTCGTTGATTAAAACGCGCCTCTTTACGTGTGAATTAAAAATTAGTGAAAAAAGAAGAAAAGAAACAAACGCGATAAATTTTATTTCGTTTTGACGATTATTCAGCTTGAATTCCAATCCAATTTCGTCCAATAAGTGTCGCTATTCGATCGACGGGGATGATAATAAGACGTCGTGCGTTATAAAAGAAAAAAGGCGGTTTGATAACGGATAAGAAGTGTAAATTCATTGTTACGCCACTGGTTCAGGCTGTCAAACACGTGCCACCTCCAACCCTCCAGGCCTCCGCCATTTTGGTGTTGAAGTTGGGTCTCTCATCCTCTCCCGTCCATGTAATCTCACTTCGCACTACTCCAACCTTCCTCTTACAAGTCTACGTTATTTTACCGATTCTTTGGCGCGAACCCAGTGGCGTAAGCGCGTATAAAAAAGCAATCGTAAAAATGATAGATGGAGACTAGCCCGCGAATGCCCTTTTCGGCCTGAATGAATTACGAAACTAAATTCTGCAACGATGAAACCACGATACTCTTTCCTTTCTCGTTCTATTTCTTTTCTTTCCTTTTTTTTTTTTTTTTTTTTTTTTATTTGTTTTTCAATATCCACCGATATCTTTACGGGTTTTTCGTTTTGGCAACGGAAGCCGCATATACGCGAAACTTCTCGTAAATCTTTAAAGGAAGAAGAAATTGAAATGTTTTTTCTCTTTGACTTCTTTTTTTGAAGTAGTGGTTCGTTAAACGAAGTGGATAATCCGTGAATTTTACGCGAATGCCAAAAAAAGAGGAGTGCCATTGAATTCTAGGATTTTAGGATCGGCTATTAACATCGACGTTTTAAGGACGGAATCTCTGAAATGGCTCGTAAAAGAGGACATGAAATTCAAATTGCAGAAAATTTTTTCTTGAAGTAAAAAAGTTCTTTTCTCATTTTTTTTCTTTTTTTTTTTTTTTTTTCTCCCACGTATGACACGCATCTATAGATGTATATCTCTCGAATGATTTGAATTGCTATCGTGTCATATTCACGTGTAAATATAAAGTAACGCGTGTCATCGATAAATTTCATTACGCTTGAAAATGAGAGCAATATTCGGAAATAGGTACTCCATACAATACTACACGTGTAAGTACGTCAGTATGCAAGCCTCACGTGATTATTTAAACCTATTTATAGTACGGTGATGCGGTGAAATAGCGGTAAACTGGTGAAATTCCGCCAATCACGAACAAGAACTTTTCATCGAATCGATGATAGCGTACAGGCGTTCACTTTTGAACCGTTTTGGATCGTTTCTTTTTTCAGAAGAGATCCATCATTTTTTTTTTTTTTTTTTTTATTTCCTTTTCTTCTTTTCTTTTTTTTTTTCCACGAGATATCGCCGCGAGATCAAGAAAGACTTTTAGGAATAAGTAATAACGCCTCGATACCGAAAAACAAACGGTTTTTCTTTTTTTTTTTTTTTTTTGCAAACCGAGAGGAACCGTGAGTGAAATTTCCTGCTTTAAAACACACGTACATAGAGCTCGTACGTAGAGTGTTGCGCGAAGCAAACGATACAATTGGGCAAATGAAAGTAGGTGACTGCGAACAATAAGCCACGATGAGCCAAGAATAAGATTCTCTATTCACCGTGACGCATTGCAGTGAATCACAATTGAGACACGTCACTCATCGTTGAATTTACGAACTGTGAACTGTGAACTCACACACTTTCGAACCTTTCCTTTCTAATATCCTACGACTCATCATTTCGATGAATTGAACGGAACGAAATCGAATTTATTCTTAGATCTGCATAAGACCTTTCAAATTGTCTAGATTTATCAGTGTTATGTGCATAAGATAATTGATCCTCTCTCTCTCTCTCTCTCTCTCTCTCTCTCTCTCTCTCTCTCTCTCT